TCACAATTTTTTTGATGTGAAAATTTGATGAGATGCAAAGTGATGAGGATGATAAATGATTATGATGATGAAATGATGACCATCAGATTGACCTGACCTGAGAAAGTAAAGGTTAAGACAACCAATGGTTGTATTTTGATTCCTTGATTATTATTGATTGATTGAAAGTTAAACAACAATCAACCCAACGGGAAAGTGAATAGTAAAAGAAAATTTAACAATAACAATCAAATTAAAACTAATTACACTCAAAGTGAAAAATTTTGCTCGAAAAACAAATTTGAACAGTTTAAATTGTATTAGAAAATAATCAAATTATGAAACAATTAAATATCAATATTATCATTTGATTCTGTAATTAAGCTTGATGATTAACTATTAATAGTAAAATGCCTGAGCAAAAGTCAGAAAATATCAAGCAATTAATAAATTTTTGTATTAGATGAACAAAAACAAGACCTTGATAGTTAATTATTGACAGATGATTAACTTTGATTGTTGACACAATTAACTCACTAATTTATTGGGGGTAGATTTTAACCTAATTATTGAAAATGTATAAGAGGAAATTGAAAAGTAAATGACTTTGGCTTTTTTTTCATCGAATTTAAATTTTCTTGGAATTTAAATTGTTGGTTAAAGAGAAATCAAAATGATGAAAATTAATCACAATTAAGGAACCTAAAGGTTATATAATAAATATTAACAGATTAATCAAGCAACAGAATCCACAGTGTGAGGGCAATTAAAGGTGATCATCATCATCATCCTTCTGAGCCTGAAGATGAGGATGAAAAATGGATTCAAATGTAATACGGTCAAGGAATTGAGTGTTACCTTTGCTACTGGAAGATGAGGATGAGGATCTGGATGAAAAAGGTGAAAAAGATCCTGTAATTTGTATAATTTTATCATGAATCTCAGGTATCAAGGTATTTATCATCATCATCATCATCATCTTAATACAACTTTAGTTTTCAATGTTTACTTTTTTCCTTCTCAACTCTTTTCATAATATAATCAATTTTGATTATATGATTTATTTTTTGTAATTCTGATCATATGATGATCTTGATCACTGATTATCATAACTGAATTGCTACTCCAGTTTAATTGGTTGTTCCTACAACCATGATTATCTACAATTTACCTTAATCCTTGATTGATCTCATCTAACTAATCAATGAAAACTAAGAAAATATTTGCAGATTTGAACACTCGCTGAACAAATCAATTAGTGACTTTAATTTACAGTCTCTAGAAAGTAATTGGTTGTACAATAGATTGTAAAATTAGATCTCTGATAGTATAACACTGTAGTTTGAAATATTTGATTTTGTTTTGGAATATGTAACAATTTAACTAAATGGTAAAAATGATGATTAAGGGGAAAGGAATTGATTGTTACAATTTAGCAATAATTTGATGTTGATGAAAATTCAATCCCAGATACAGTTGTACTTACGATTTCCTGGCAAATTTTCATAGTAGAAACATTAATTAACAATAAATATGAAGCATATTAATGATGATGATAGTAATTTATCAATTAATCATCATGTTTGACGATGAAAGATATCATTATCATTATCATGATCATCATGTTAATTATATACTTGAAACAATCAAGATTCATTAGCATATTGATTGGGGTTGACATTTTGGTTGGAGATCAAATAAGAAAACATCACCAAACAATTAAATTTAATACTAATGATTAGTACAAACAATTTAAACATTGATATGAACTATGGGGAGTAAAAGGATTGTGTGATTTAAGTTAAATTGGTTGATTTTTGAGGCAACAATTTAAATTGCTTTAGGCAAATTAACCAGAGATTCAAAATGTAACTAAATCTCCCGCCGGGTAAATTGATTCACAATAACCATCATTATAATATTTGGAGTTTGAATAGTAACAATTAACAAGCACAGTTAACTAATTACGGTTACAATCATGATCAATATAAATACTTTTCCGGATTTTTATGATTACTAGGAAAATGTAATAATGTTTACAAGGTTTGATGGTCAAATTGATGGGTCATTTTGAATTTGATTCTGGTCAAAGTTGATCAATAACATTGATTAACTAATCATTATCCTTAAATTGTAAATGGTTACAAAACTAAATTAACCTCGACTCAAACCTAATTATCCTTAAGGTGTTTGTTTTGTTTTCTGATTCTCATCTTTAATCGTGATCAATTTGATTGTAAATCATTTTGAATCGTGTTTAATTTACTTCATCCTAATCAAACATAGATAAACTAAATTGCTTCTGATTAAGGTGCCACTGTAAAAAGCTAACGAACTGATTAACTTAATTGTAACCAAATCAATATCTCCGTACCAAGATCAAGTATACAATTTATGTATAAAACTACAGAGTTAATTGTTATAATTAACAGACAGCAACTATTATTATACAAACTTGAATGTTAAAGTATTAATTTCATGATGATTGGATTGATAATCATAACAAACAATACAAATTGATACAATTTAATTAGCACAATAATTTTGTATCATCATTAATTCAGTTATATAATTGGGAATCAGGAATAAGGAAGCAAATTGATTACCGTTGATTGTTGTTAAATCATATTACAAATAACATAACAGACGAAAAAAGTTTAATTGTAATCAATTGATCAGATTTGTTGAAAAATCAATTGATCTGATCTAAATTTGAGGTCCAACAATTTACTAATTTCCGTATTAAATAATAAGTAAAAATTTAGCCACCAATTTGATATTAATCTAATTCAGTTTGACAATTAAATCTGTAAACAGTCACGATGATGATGATGAACATGATGATTAAGATGAGGTATCAATAAATATATAAATTTTTGAATACTGGTCAATCAGTTTTAATGGTCAAGTGTTAAATTGTTAGCACGTTATTATAATAATTTATTAATGAAAGAAAAAGTTTTTTTTTTCTGTTCACAATTAAATTGTTGACGTTGATTAAAAAGTGATTGAAACTAGTTTATGATAAATTGCTATATAAATAGTAAGTATTATTATTACAATATATCTGATGATGATTAAATTGTTTGGTTGATTATGATTAGAAAGTTATTGAGATATTGTAACCTAAAGTTAAATTGTGTCTAACTGTTAATCTGATCTAATCTGTAATAATAATAACCGTTAATCAAATTGATAAATAATGAACGTGATTACTTTTCATTGTAACATCTACAACCAATTTGGTTAATCAGTTGATGAGAGAGACTATTGATTGTTGATATATAGCAACAATTGATCCCTCCAACTGTTACAATCAAATCAAATTAAAATAATCAGACAGATCTACATGATTAACTTTCATCTCTTTATTATAACATCAAATTATAATTTCATTAAATTGTCACTATTTTAATTGTTATCAGTAAACTGGATCAGTTTAATAATATAAACCTATTAAAGATTAAATTGTTTAAAAAGTTAATCCAATAATTAAAAAAAAAAAATGCTTTTCATGATTAACCAAAACAATCAGACTTGTGGCTCCATCTTTATGATAATTTAGAAACTAAAAGAACCAAGAAAATTTTGTTTTCTAATTTCAAAACTTTTAATTGTAATAATTGAATTTTAATCTAATTTTGAATCTTATTTTTTTCCTATTCAATCTCATACTCATATTTATATCCTATTAATATCTTAATTTTTCAGTTATTTGTTGAATTAGTTTCTCCTTGATGCTAAATAAAAATTGTAACTCAAACATTAATTGTAAGTTTAAATGAAATAAGATTAACTTAATCCTTTAATAAAAAGTTAATCCTCTGAATGTGAAACCATTAAAAGTTTCAATTATCAATTGATTGTGAATGTGAAAGTTTATCACAATAAAAACATTATCATGATTGGTTGATATTAGTATTGTAGCAATATTAATAATAACAATTAATTCATCGGTTATCCAATAGATTAGCAATTTAAATTGAATTAAACATAATCGCAATGAGCTAGAAAAATAGGAAACTATCTCATCTCAATCGCAATGATTACTGATAAGTAATATTTAGTGTTAACAATTCAATTATGATTCTTAGTTAACCAACTTGTAAAAAGTTATTAATCTTTGGATAATCTCATTAGAGTTAATCTCATGTCACTTGAGAGAGAGGGAAAGAAACTACTTTTCATTGTATCCACGTTCTAATGTATGTTTACATTCAAGAATTCTCAGTAACTGAATTAGCAGAATCATCATGGAGAGAGAGAGAGAGAGAGAGACGATCTTTTGATTTTCCAATGATATTAATTGGATGAGATTTCGAGTTGTATATTTGTCATTCCTTTGTCGATATCTTGTTCATTTTGAATCTTTTCCCTATCAACTATAAAATGTATTGAGTATGTTTCAAATTATTGATATTATTTAACTGAATTGGAACTTTTTTCATTTCGGATTTTGATACTTGAAGTACATGATTTATGTGATAGTAAACTATTATCATTATGAGAATACACAATAATATTATTACGATAATATGAAAGTTATTCAAGCAAATGATGATGATGATAATTTAATGATGTCAATAATGATTAAACAGGGTGGTGTATGGTGAAGAGGATACTTTTTCATTTCTCTTACCATGAACTGAAATATTTGACCATTAGAAAGAAACATTTATCTGACCATGTGAGAATTGCCTTTTATCAGAATCCATTCATCCTTCAATGATTTCATTCTCTCTCTCTCTCTCTCTCTCTCTCTCTCTCTCTCTCTCTCTCTCTCTCTCTCTCTCTCTCTGATTCAATTGGTCAATGTCTGGTCAAAACATCTCATAATCATCATGGGTTTCAACTGAATCCTCATCTTCATGGTTAGAGTTTCTCCTTTGGAGAAAGTGTATTGTATTAAAATGTTCACTGTTCAATTGATGGAAAATGAAAAATTCTGATTCAGTTTCAAACAGAAACTTTTGATAATTGACATGAAGAATAAAAATGGGAGCGATGATAATATAGAAGATGAGAAGGAGCAAATTGGATGAGAAATATTTATTCTTTCATTGGATTGAATCGAAGATGAATTTTTTCATCTTCAGGGGAACATTTTCCTTCTACCCCTGAACTCCTTCAATCCTCTTCAGTTGTCACAGTTTCCGCTTCCTACTCATCTGTTTCAAGGTGATGATGAAGATAATGATGATAGAGAGGATAATTCTTACTCGAGTTTCATTGTCATGAAACTTTTTTACAAATTGAAGTTTTCATTGAAAAGTATCAACAAAATCAATTAGTTGAGAATTGTAATTCTCGTTTTCTCATTACAATTAACTTTCCATGTTAATACATTGATTATCATTACAATTGCATCAAATATAATTAACTATATCAGTATTTACATGAGATATTTTAACAGTTTAGATTGTAATAATATTTGAATAGTACAATTAACTTTATATTCACCTTTAAGTTTTAATTTAATTGTTTTTTTCGTATCATTTTCATTTGTGTCATGATTTATTATCAATTTGTTTTTAAAAGCTCGATAAATTTAAATCTGTTATATGAATTTTTTCAAGAATTCAATGGGATTGAAACATTTAATTAGGACGAGATTTATTGTTTCCGATTGGCCCAATTCTAGTACCGGACACAGTATCGATAACTTGAACAGCTCGAAAGTGTTGTATCCAATTTGGATTCTGATCTATTTCCTTTTCTATCCCCACAACCGGCACCTCTATCGGTACTGTTGATTGTATTACTATGATTGGATTTGGCATTACGTTCGTTAACACTGTTATGTGACAATTGAACCATAATTGATCTTAATTCGATGGCTCGAAGTCGCTTTTCTCGTTCCGTTCTGATTAGAGCCCAATAGACGATTGGATTAATGGCAGAATGAGAATGACCCAGGACAAGGGTGAAAGGCAACATGTAAAGTGCAAGGGAAGATTCTGTTAGGTCAAGATAAAACGAGGTTACATTATAAGGCAACCAGCAGAAAACGAAAACCATTGTAATTGAGATTAAAAATCGTGAAAGATGCCGACGATTAATGGTCATCTTTTTTTGCGCATTTATTTCCGGATTGGTTAATATTTCCAGATTATCAATTGTCGTTGAATCAGATGATATGGTTGTTGATGATTTAACCCGGAAGGCTTTCTTTCTGGACGAATCTCTTAGATTGGTTGTTCCTCTTCGAGCGGCAAGTTCACGATTAGATATTACAAGTGCAAGGGAAACACGAGTATGACAATAGACAAGAATGGTACAGGGAATCAGATAGACAATTATAAAGGTAATTATTGAGAAAAGTTTCTTATGTGTATCACTGGGCCAAATTTCAAGGCAAAAGGAAAATGAATAGTCCAATAGTTGAACTCGTTTAAGTTTACGGACAAAAAGTATTGGTACAGGAAGTAAAGTCGAGGCAAACCAAACGATACACAGGAAAAGACCGTTGAGCGGGGCCAATTTCCGCATGGAGGCAAGGTCACTTCTCTGCATTAGAAAGTAACGTCCAAAGGAAAGGGCAGTCATTGAGAGAGTTGTTGATGTAATAGCAACTCCTAAGGGAGAGAAGAAGAAAAAAAAATATTATCGTTATATTTATTAGAGAAAAATATTCCATGATAAATCAACTGTAATCAAGTTACTCCGAGTATAACAATTAGAATCAGAATTGGGCCAGAATATTGCATCAATCCACTCGAACGTATTTATGGTTCAACTATTAATAATTTCACAAGGAAACTCAATATATTTCTTGATGAAAGTTTCATTTATCTTGGTTGGTCAAAACCTTGAACTGGTCAACCTTGATCTCCCCTAACTTTTATCATCTAGGTAATAACGATAACAATTTGATATCGTTAAAGTATTAATAATAATAACATTCAACTCATCACTTGATCCACTTCATCATATTCACTACAGCATCCTCATCATCATCATCATCTCCATCTTCATTCAAAGTATTCTCGTACAACAATCATAATAATAAAGGATAAATTGTAAACAAAAAGTAATTATTTTGAGTAAAGTTCATTATCTTCAATTGAGCTCGATTCTTTTTCCTCCCTGAAAACTTTGCTCAATTGTTCATCCACCTACGACATTACCCGCCTCTTGATCATCATGAAACTTTGTTGTTTTTTTTTCGGAACCAAAATGTTTTACTATTATCCAGTTCAACCTTAAAATAAACAGCCTTCGGATAATACATACATGTAATATCATATTATCAAAATAACGGTAAAATACAAAATGAGAAAAAAACTCAACTCCATGATAATATACTTCCCATTACCTTTTTTTTGTAACCATCATGTTCATGGTGATTTTTTTTGTTCCTACAAATAAGCTTATAATGTACCTAATTCAAAATGTTATCAATTGCAACTTTTTTCTTTGTGTTGTTTATAATAAACTAGCAGCTGAGTCAACATGTAATATCAACACTGAAAATCATCATCATGAACATCATGATTAGCTACAGGTGAGTGATTGTTGCATAATGGGAATCGACAATTTCAAATATTAATAGAAATGTAAAAAAACTGGGAGAGAGTAAAAATATTCACACAAAAGCTTATTAAATTTACTATTGATGATTTAATGGGATGTTGAATTTTTTAAAAGTTCTGAATGAATATTCAGTTTGATTCAATTCTGCTAGTTGAGTTTATTTGATAATTTGAAAGGCTTCAATTTAAATCTCTAAAATCAAACTATGCTAATGATCATCATGAATTCATTTTGATGCTTATTAGATAATGAATGTTAAGAAACATGGATGAGTAATAATATTGAATTATTATCAGTATGAATAAATGTATGTATGTACATGTTGCCTCTGGGAGTTGATTGATTTGTATCCATGAAAATGAATTCTAATAATTGAAATTTTATCCAATCAGGGTAACAAGAAATGAGCAATTTGATCAATAGTTTTTATAGATTTTTGTATCCTCATCAAGACACAGAATCAATTCCATGGTGATTATAAAATAAATGAAGCCACTAAACTAGTTGAAAGTTTCTAACATTTTATAATTCTCATGAGTTTTGTTTTCACATGATGATGGTGATGAAACCTGCAGCTATCGGCTGAGCATCATGATGTCATGGTGATTATTTGACTTTTATATAAATTATATTTTCAATTAACAGGGAAAAGAACAAAAATTTTATTCAAACTTGATTCATATTTGTCATTTTTTTCTTGTTCAGTTTAATGAAAATGTTTACAAAAGAATATGATATAACATTTACCATGGAACATGATGAATTTTCATGAGGCAAAACGAAAAAGGAAATGGGTATAAATTTGAATTCTATGGTGAAACAAGACAAAAAAAACTCAAACTCGAAAAAGAGTAGAATTTTTTTTTCTCAGCAAATCTCATAGAATCCATGTCAATGTTATCGTTACTCCTAAAGATCCTGAATATTGCATGAGATTCACGAATCCCAGTCAAACTGGATTAGGAACCATGATGATCATCATTAAATAGTTGAAACAATCGTATTAATGATTAATTGTTATTGTAATTAGACTGAATTGGTTTGAAAATCAGCATAAACGATTGAAATCAAACTAACGATTAAATTTAATCGTTACATCAATTAGCAATCAGATTAATTCAATAAATATTTAATCGTTACCCTGAACAATATCATCAACTTATCTTCAATCAGAAAACAAAAAAAAAGTTCACATCAACTGATTTTCCTAATCAAGTTAACAAACTATTCCAAGTGAACTATTGATAATTTGTTTCAATATTAACAATCAATTTAGTCAATTGAACAACAATCAAATGCTACATTTATCATGAAGATAATACTAATCAGTGAAATTCAGTTTATACACTGAATCTGAATTCAGGAAACTCTGAATACCTAGTGATTAGTATTATTGATTAGTTTGATAGTAAACTGAAGTTCCTGATCAATAGCGAGTAACGATAATGATGTTGAGTCAAAATAATCAGCTTAATTGTTGAATCTTTTTCACCATTCAGCTTAATATTATCAGAGTAATATTGATATGCATAAATCTGAATAATTAACCATTCGCTGATCACTGATGATTAATCATGAAGATTAAGATGATAATTGTAGTTGCAACTAATTTTGGATGAAAATATTATTCAAGCTAATCAATTGATCATTAAGATAATATTAGAAGATGACTAGATTCAAGATTAATTAAATGGCCTTAGGGTATAAATAGTTACCATGAAAAAGATTGAATCTTGAATTTTCAACGATTGATCACAATTGTTTTTCTTACTGTGATAATGATCATTGTAACAATTGGAGGTAAAAATCAACCAAAGGGTTAATTGTTGATTAGTTAAATTATGGAAATACAAAATTTTTATATATAAAAGGAGCGCAATTAAAGTTAATTGTGCAAGCGACTTGAAATTTGGTGTAAGTTGATCATTAAAAAAGTTTTTTTTCCGATCTACAATTTAATCATTAACATGTAAATGTAATTAGTCTCATGTATCATATAATTAAGTTCATTAATTAGTAACAAAATAACAATAATGAATGGTGAAAAAAATTTATACAAATGATTTAACAATTAAAATGATTATTTGACTGTTTAAATCAAGACAATTTACCTTTAATCTGATTGAAGATTAAAAGTTAATAATTTGATGTTAATCCTCACACTGTGAGTGATTAGTTATCAATATGACTAATTAAATCTGATAACAATGATGAAGATGAAAAAGAAACGTAAAGATTAAGGTTTAAAGAGTTACAATTCATGAGAGGATTTCGTTGACCATTGGTCAATAATAAATCTTTATTACTCTGGTTATTAATATCATTCATCATTCATGGTAAAGGTAACCAAATGTTGGAATCAAAGTTAGTGTCAAACTTTACCTTCAACCATCATGGTGAGAGTGATTCTAATGTATCATTCATCTACTTGACCATTAGCAGCTTTCAATCTGTCAACAATCATCATCAATATCAACACATTGACCAAAGACAAAACAAAATTGATCCTTGTCTCTTATGTATCAATGATACAATTTGTATACATGTAGAGATTAACATTGTTATCGCAATTGGGTCAATCTCATTGTGATCATGAATCGGATCAGGATAAAAAAGTTGAGTTTTTATGATTTACTTTTGGTCACAGAATTAATTGAATTTCATTGAGCAAACTGAATCACCTGATTATCTTTGTATGTCCACTTTAATTGTGTCCATCCTAATGAAGATATTAAGGTTTCTGTTTACTTGTTGACACTGGAAAAAAATTGATTCTTTGTATCGTTAAAATAAACAATTAAATCAACGTTAAATCTCATTTGAAAGTTAAACCTTCATCTAAATTGTTAATCCCTTGTTTACCTTAAACAATCAGATTTAATTGTTACCCTAAAGTTTATAGTCAGAGTCTTGTAGATAATCAATAACAATGAACATTGAAATAAAAACCGCTAATGATAATGATGATGAGCAGCTTAATTTACTTGGGCTTAATTGTTACAATCTTCAAGTTAATTTCTATTGAATAAATTGTATCTAATCAGCTTTAATCGTTTCTCTCATGTTAATAATAAAATTACCGTTATTTTCCCAAGACTTATAATGTTATCCAATAATTGGAGTTAATGAAAAAATTGATAAAATGAATTCTTAATTTTCTCATATCGTTTACATGATAAATGCATTTACAATTAATTTCATTGATTTCAAAGAAAACCAGACTTGATGAATCAAAACTTTTTTTATCATTGAGAAACTTTTCCCTGATGAACATGTAAAGTTCAGGTAAGATATTAAATTCTGGGTGAGTTTGATTTCATTTCTTTAATCTTATCATTAACCTTGAACTCTGTAAATGAAAGATAATTAGATTTCACCAGAACCATGTACATGGATAATTGAATCATCACTGATAATATATATTTCTATCTGCATGTAAAATTGATTGTAGATCTTAATCATCATCAGATAATTTAGTTGATTTATTTATTAATCTTATTCAAATGATTATCGATGCAAACGTAATATTATTAACATGGAATGGAAATACTAAAGATGAACCATGAAAGAAAAAAAATTTCCAAATGATTATCTTTACGAGTATTATATTCATTCATCATGTTAAAGGATTTTTCTTCATCTTCATCATCTCATCTGAATAATTCATTGAGATCATGTAGATAATCATCATCTTCATAAAGTGAGATTGTACTGTTTTTAAGTGAAGTAAATAAAGTTATCATTGAGCAATATTAATACATGATACTTGATACGTAATCATGATTAGGAATCATCATAACATAATGAGTAGAAACATTTATTATATCATTCCAAATACCAGCTCATGAAATTTACTGAGTTAAAGGTAAATCTTAGGTATTATATTATTGTATTAGACACTTTCCACCTTTCTATCATGATCATCATGATAATCTTGATACAGGGAAAATGATATGTCATGATTAAGATGAAGAAAAAAGCAGAAAAACAAATGAAAATGATCAACTAATCATCTTATTGTCATTGAAGCAAAAATTCATTA